AAATGAAAATGTCAGGGGAAAATGCATTTTACTATCTTCTGTCTTCCTTTGTAGCAATTATTAAAGTCAAAAGCATGCATATAAAACAGCAGTTATGAATACATGTGTGTAATGCATAACAGATGGGTTTTTTTTGTATGCAAGCAAATAGGCCCTTTCCAGGATTTTAATGAGTGTTACAGAAGGCTTTTGTTAATATATAATGCCAAACATTCTCAAGTAGAATGCTGGTGAAAGGAAAAGCCCCCCCCCCCGAATTAAATCGTTAAATCTGAAATTCTTGACATTGTACAAATGCAGTGTGTCAGATCACTGAAGATAAGATGGTAATGTTTTAGATCAGCAACTGGGTTTTTTGCTTCTAGCACAGGTTCTTTACTCTTGGGAATTCTGCCTCTTTAAATCTCTTCTCTCTTGATGTTTTTGTAATAAATGTCTAGATGTCATAAGAGAATCCCTGTATAAACTGTCCTGAGGTTAAAAAAGCTTTGTATGTCTGTTCTCGGGACGTCAGTAACACAGCTGGAACAAAAACATAAACCTTGAAAGAAGATAAAAGCCTGGTGCTGTCAGTCTCTTGCATTGCTTCTTCCCCAAGCCAGTTCTTTGCAAATAAAAAAAGATTAAAATGTAATTGCTGATCCATGTTGACTTTAAATATTGAATACTTTATGCTTTTTTCTTTATATAATAAAGTAACATCAGAGCAAACCAAGAGTTGATGACAGGAGATGAGAAAAGCGTGTTACCAATCATTGTTCAGATGGACTCTGTGCAGCTACTCAGTATATTCGGCTGCCACAGAGGGAGGCAGTATCTTATTTGAATTGTGCGGCAAGGTAAATGTCACTCCTTCTGCAGAAGGAGCAGCTGTTCTTGGCATGAGGCAAAGCTAATCCTGGTTGTACAAGAGAAAGAGAGAGAGAGAGAGAGAGAGACAATCCCTGGGCATGACTGGGTTTAAAAGGCCTAAGCATTGTGCAGTATTTCTCTCCACCGAGAGATTAATAATATTCAAAAACACCTAATTTCAAATACAGCATATTTATAGCCTATTTATGCAATGTGACCAAGGTTATTTTTACTTTGTTCTAAAATTTAGAGTTTATATTTGGGAAAGTAAGTCAGAATGCTACTTTTCTTGGTACTTCAAAGACGTTCTATTGATGCTTTCCATCTTGACGTCCATGGAGCATCTACACAATTTGCATTTTTGGTCTGCTAGCCTTTAGAAGAGGTTCAAGAAACTTGAAGGGAAGGTTTATAGAAGGTAAAGCTTATGTGAGAGGAAGCATGCACAAATTTAATTCATCCTTCAAGTCTGCTTCCTGAAGAGGAGGATCTGCAAACTCTTGTTAACTTATGGGCATGGTTGTGTGTGAAGTGTTCAATAAATTAAAGTTCTATGCCGAAAGAAACTGAAGGATTCCCTATGAAGAAGAAAGGAGAAAAGCCAGGGTACTCGGTCACCACATTCTGTACATACAACCCTGACTACCTGCACTTATTAACTCTATTTCTTTCTTAAAGTAATCTAGGAAACATTATTTGGGTATTTCATCAGAACCATGGAGGCTCATCATTCAGATATTTCATTCGAACCATATTATCAGGAGAGAGGAAGAAGTAGGATGTTTGCTACCCCCAAATTGTCTCCTAAATTACATAGCCTGCATAAGCATTGGTGACAGTCCCTATGGGTTGAAAATACTGCTGCTGAATGCCAGGTCAATAAACGGGAAAGCATCAGCTATCCAGTACAGTATTTGATTCTGGATGAGCACATTGACCTGGCTTGCATTATGGAAACCTGCTTGTATGAGGCTAGGGGAGTTCGCTCCTCCCAGTTCTATGCTTGACCTGGCTTGCATTATGGAAACCTGCTAGGATGAGGCTGGGGGGCGGGTTTGCTCCTCTCAGTTCTGTCCTATGAGGAGAGGGGAGGTAGGTTACCAATTGTCCCATTCCTTAGTTTTCTGGGTTTGAGTGTGTTTACCTGAAAACGGTGTCCAGGTCAGAACAGTGATTCTATTTGGTGTGTTGCACACTCTGCTGCTCAGCAACCTGAGCTGGCTGAATTGGTCTTGGAAGTGAGTCTCCTTGGCTTCTTCTCCTGTAGGATTTCAACATCTGTGCCAAGGCCAGCCTTTCCACCCTGATGGGACTGTTCCAAGAGATATCTTGCAGGGCATACTCTGGACCTGGTTTTCTGTGCTGGGCCTATCGATAATAATTTGGGTGTGAAGGACCTCTGTAATTCCATTGTCAGGAACAAATATCATCTGACAAGGTTGAGACTTACCGGAAATCAAGGTCCCTGCAGGGGTGGGGGACCAGTTAAGGTGATCCACCACCACAAACTGAAGGATTCAAGTGGTTTCATGATGATTGCTGCGGAGTTTCCTTTTGTCTTGGCATCAGTTCTGTCGAATCTCTGGCTAACGTCTGGAAGAGGAATATGGCCAGGGCTGTGCAGGCGATTGCTCCTAAGTGTTCCCATCATGCAGTGGAGCCACACTAGCCCATGCCCCTGTGAACTGGGGAGCTAGTTGTGATGACATGCATGGAACAGGGGCTAGAGCAGTGATAGCAGAAAACTGATTAAATCTGACTGTACACAGCTTAGACCACATTTGAGGCCCTGCGTTGTGGCTGAGTCTGCAGCAATGAAATGATTTTCCTCTGAAGCCATTGGTTCTCCACACAACTGGCCAGCGAAGCTGTTTTGGGTGGTTGTGGACCTGTTACATGTGAGCAAGAAGCTGACCACTCAGTAGCCACTGTGAAGAATTTGCATGGCATTTTGAAGACCAGGTCACTCCAATTTGCTCTTGACTTGGACACTATAGTGTACTCAGACCTTGTCGATCCAACTTTGGCTTCTGCTTGTCCTGTTATCGTGGAGGTTTTTCGGTCTCTGCAGCCTGAGGGTGTGGACAGGATCCTTGGAGAGATTAAAGCCACCACATGTGTGTTGGATACTTGACCTTCCTGGCTGATTAAAAAGAGCCAGAGGAGGACTTGCCAAGTGGGTACAAGGGCTGTATCCAGTTTCTGCCCATCCTGCTGTGTGTTCTTTGTAAAGGAAGGATGTTCCAATCTATCACCTTAGAGGCTGAGAACAAGTCGTCATGACATTTATAAAATGCAACCACTTAAGAACAGCAGCAGCAACTCATTAGGCTTTTTCCAAAACTTAGTAAGAACAAGAGTAGAACTGATTTTCAGGGCATGGGGTCAAGGGGTTGGCTTGAGGGTTTTCCTGTTGAAGTTAAGTTCCTTGCAGAATTTTTAAGTGTCACCTAGGTTCTGGACCTGTAAAACTTATCAGTTCCTGTTGTATAATCAGTGGCTCTGCTGCAGCGGTTACCTCTGAAGTCATTTTTGATCAGTAATCAGATAACAATTCTTACCAGTGATCCCTGAAACATTGAATTAAAATCTGAATGCTTCTCTCTTTATTTGCACTGATCAGCACTACAGCTAAAAATAAAAGTGATGTTTTTCATGTTAAAGACTATTTGCAGAGCTTGGAAAAGTTTTGCACTACAACTTTCATACTTCCCCAGCCAGCGCAGCCAGTGGAGAATACAGTATTAGGAACTCTTATCCAAAGCGTTTGTCTTCCCCAAGGTCTGGCTGTCCCTGTGTCATATCTTTAGCTTTACTGCCGGTTGATACCTCAGTGCCTGACAAGGCTTTCTCCAGCCTGAGATGATGTTTGGAAGTTTATATCTCAGTTAGAGTAGTTCTGGGGAGAAGTTTGGAGTCTTGCTTTGCGAACAAGTGGTGAAGTATACAGAGGAGGAATCGGAGCAATGTCTTTTGGATGGCTTCTGGTTAAAATTAGTTCTACATCTGAGTAACCAGAACAAAACCAGATGTGTTGCAACTAGCAGGTATTACCGTGGATCTTTGAGAACTCCTTTTCTAAAATGTTTTAAAACCTATAAAGCTGTGTGCGTTCTGTTTGCTAAGGCGGTATGGTTTAATCACAGGGCAGTTTTGCTCTTGATGTTTTCCTTTTCATCAGTCGGAACTGACTTACAAAGTGCTTCAAATAAGTGAATTTAGAGCTATTTTTAGTAATGACTCGGATGAGGGAGTGCAGGAAATACATGTCAAGATTTACAGATGACACAAAATTGGGTGGAATAGCTAATGCCTTGGAAGACGGGAACAAAATTCAAAGCAATCTTGATAAGCTTGAATACTGGGCTGAAACCAATAGGATGAAATTTAACAGTGATAAATGCAAAGTTCTGCACCCGGGGGTGGTGGTGGTGGAAATGCACTATTACAAGATGGAGGGCACTTCGCTTCGTAATACTACGAGCAAGAAAGATCATGGAATTGTTTTAGATCACAAGCTAAATACAGACTGCATTAACAGAATAGTCTCTGAATGCTATGAAGTACTAGTTCTCCTCGGTTAGACCTCATCTTGAGTACTGTGTCCAGTTTGAGACATAGTCCTTTAAGAGTGATGCTGAAAAATTGGCACAAGTTGAGAGGAGGGCGACAAGGATAACCAGGGGATTGGAAACCAGTCCCTATGAGGAAAGACTGAAATAACTGGGCATGTTTAGCTTCGAAAAAAAGAAAGTTGAGGGGAGATGTGATAGCGCCTTTCAGATTCTTGAAAGATAGTCATACAGAGGAGGGGCAGGATCTGTTCTTGATCATTCCACAGTGTGCTGGGCACATAATAATGGGATCCAGCTTCAGGAGGCCAGATTCAGGGGAAACATCTTAGCAGAGCAGTATGAAAAGAGAACCTAAGGCCTCAGGAGGTGGTGAGCGCTCAACGCTGGAGGCATTCAAAGGAAAATTGGAGAACCATCTGATTTTGGATTCCTGCCCTGAGAAGGGAGTTGGACTCATTGGCCTTGTAGGCCCCTTCCAACTCAATGTTTCTATGATTCTACCGAAGACGTATATTTCTTGCACTTGAGCTGTGGTATTTATGCATTCATGAAATTTCTTCCTGTTTCTTGTAGGACATTCAGTCAGAAGAAAGCTGCCATTGAGAGAGAATACGCGCAGGTAAGCCACCAAGAAAAATGATAAGGAACGGCAACAGGCATATCATTGTTTTCTGTAAAATCTTCCCCTTCCTCCCTCCACAACTGAACTCTAGGGCCACATAGTACAGAAGAAGAGCTGCTACTCCAAGCCCAGCTTGATCACAGATATATCCTTAGTTTCTGACCAAAATGGGGTGATTGGACTGAGAAATGGTTGTAGAAAATGTGACCCTGTATTCCCCTTCTCGGTGGCCTTTGATCCGATTGATTGCGATATACTTCTAGATCATGTGGCTGCATAAAGTCAATTTTTTTTTTACAGTGGCTGTGAACGTACCTGGTTGGTCTATCTTGGATAGTCTTCAGTATCCCATCTTGCCACTCATGATTTTTTTTTAAGTGTGAAACTGCAGGGAGAAGTCATCCAAAGTTCTGGGTTGTCCTGTCAGCCTCAGTATGCTGTTGACACACAGCTCTGAGTTTGTTTTTAACCTGTTCATCTTAGGGAGACAAGGGAACGACGGCATAGATGCTTGGAGGTGGTTTCCAGATGGATGAGAGCAAATAAACTGAAGCTTAGTCCGAGAGTACTTCGGGTGAAGAAACATTTCTGATACGGAGGTTCATCACATATTGATAGAGCTGCCACACCTGTCCGAACCTCTCTGTGCTTTAAAGTTGTTTTTTTTTCCTGAAGCCCTACTAATTAGCCTATCACCAGAATCAGTAAGGATTGCAGGCACCAGAAAATGCATTCTCAGTAGTTACCTTTGTAGTTGTTGTGTGCCATCAAAACATAACTGATGCATGACAACCCTAATAGGGCTTTCAAGGTAACTGAGACATTTAAGGAGTGGTTTTGCCAGTTTCGCACCACCTGGAGGGCTTCCATGGCTGAATGGGGATTTGAACTCAGGCCTCCCAAGTCTTAGTCTGTCACTCTGTCCACTGTGCATCCGCTTGCCCCCTTGCCCTGTGTAATTTTCTCTGGAGAGATCTATAGCTAGATCTGTCGCTTTCTTTCCAATGGTGTTAGAACGTTTGAAGGGAATCTTTAACATCTGTTTAAAATGGTCCAGTAAAGTAAAGTTCACCAGCCTTTGGGGCAAAGGCCTTTTCTTTGGCTTTTAATTGAAGAAAAAAATGTTTTATGGTGTTTGCTGCTGCTAAATATTTGAAATTGTATTTTATTTTGCCTTCGCGAATATATTTTATTTTAACTGGCTTTTAAGAACAACATTGGTCACATCAGTGGTGTACTTAAAATTATTTGATATTAGTGCTTTTACTGTTTTTGTTGGAAGCTGCCTGAAGATGACTGCAGTCTTGAAAAGGAACTACCGGATATGAGAAGTAAACCCAGCACTGGTCTTGTGGCAAATGTAGGGGCTTACTGCCGCTTGTGCACAGTAGTTGGGGAAGATGATGCTTTGGCCCACGCGGACAGGGCTGTACAGTCCTAACTTTCAGCATGTTGCACATCCTATGTCATTCCAGAACACTTTTTCTTCAGCTGAGGTGGTGGTGTGGATAGGGTTTGGACTTTTGAAACCCCAGGGTGCATCTCTCTTTCATATTGAAATTATGGGATGGCCCTGAGAAATGCATTGTCCCTGTGCATCGATCCAGTCTCTCGCTTTAAAACAGAAATAACAATGTGATCTGTATGATTTTTATTATAAAGGAATTGGATGACGATTGCATTTTCTTCAGCTGAGGTGGTGGTGTGGATAGGGTTTGGACTTTTGAAACCCCAGGGTGCATCTCTCTTTCATATTGAAATTATGGGATGGCCCTGAGAAATGCATTGTCCCTGTGCATCGATCCAGTCTCTCGCTTTAAAACAGAAATAACAATGTGATCTGTATGATTTTTATTATAAAGGAATTGGATGACGATTGCAGGATAATGGTTGTTCTGGGTTTTTCGGGCTCTTTGGCCGTGTTCTGAAGCTTGTTCTTCCGGCTTGCCCCCTTGCCCTGTGTAATTTTCTCTGAAGAGATCTATGGCTAGATCTGTCGCTTTCTTTCCAAGGGTGTTAGAACGTTTGAAAGGAATCTTTAACAGCATCTTCAGAGGACAGCAACCTGTACTCCTGATTGCAGGATACTTTGCCCTTTAAAACAAATTATGAATAACTAAGAATATAACATGTCTGTTTCTTATAAACTGGCAGTATTTCTAGCATTCCTAATCTGTTTAAAATGGTCCAGTAAAGTAAAGCTCACCATTCTTTGAGTCTGTACTGATAGACTGATGTTAAGTGTTTTGGGTTAGCTTACTGCAACTGAGCTATTCGTATTTAAGTAAGCGTCCATAGTTTATTATCATTAATTCTTTATGGATGGAATTCAGACACTAACTAAAGAGGCTTCTGGTGCTGTGGCCAAACTGCAGTACTGCAGTGAAGACTCTTCTCACAATTAGAGTTTGATCCCAGGCTCAAGTAGAGGTTGACTCAGCCTTACAGCCTTCCAAAGTCAGTAAACTACTGTAAGTACTCATCATGCTGGGGGGAGAGGCAATATGTAGCTTGCATAATTAAATTGTGAACCACCCAGAGATGTAAGTACTCATCATGCTGGGGGGAGAGGCAATATGTAGCTTGCATAATTAAATTGTGAACCCCCCAGAGAGAGCTTTAAGCACTATGGGGTGATTTATAAGCAGCGCCCTTTTTTTTTTTTGCATACTTTCTGTTTCTGTCCATCTGTGACACATCTGCAGTTGGTTTCTTTGGTCTGGATAAGGGATAGATGTCTAATGTCTGCTTGGTTATGGTTATGCAATTTTATTTTTGTTTTTCCCCCCTCTTTTTGCTTAGTTTGTTATCAAATAATTGTTGTTCAGGTTTCTTTTTTATTTTTAGCGAAGCTAGTTGAAGAGTTACTGTATTAGTTTTAATAGCAAAAGGGTAGCTCACAAAGAAAATTCAGAGTGACATAAAGATCATAAACCATGAAAAATAAATATTGGTGCCTTTGGTTTGAGCAAAAATCCAAACCTTGAACAAGTTAGCTTCTTACCATCTCATTTATTAGGCAATTTTCCTCTGCCCTTCTAAAAAACAAGTGGTAGAGATGAAATATATAGATGTATGCAACCTCTCTGGTACTGTGCCATATATATTTTGATACAAAACAAACAAGGAATGGCATTGTTTTGCCATCTACATGCTACAAATAAAAGACACAGAATACGAGAATGTATTCTGTGAGGTGAGTGAGGTTCGTAGCTTGAGCATCTTCCTGATCTAAAATTTGGAGGCCAGAATAATAACAGGGGTGAAGAAATTCCAGCACATCTCCCCCAGTCTGGCCGCCCTTCATTGGCTACTGGTTCGGTTCCACGTCAACTTCAAGGTTATGATTATAACACTCAAAGCCCTAAATGATTTAGGACCTTGGTACCTGTCAGAACGTCTGCTTCCAGCCAGATCTGTCCCTAATCCGTTCCTCACAGGCAAGGCAGTTGAGGACCTTGACCCCGAAGGAAGCCTGGAGGGAAAGAACAAGAAACTGGGCCTTCCCACCTATGGAACAACCTGCCCATTGAAATCTGCCTGGCACCCTCCATGGATGGGTTTAAACAAGCATTGAAGACTTGGCTCTTCCACCAGGCTTTCCCGGAGCATTAAGATCTTGGCCTCCCTTTTACCATCCTTTTTTCCCCATCCTCTCCATCACCCTTTTTACCACCTTCATTGCCTTCCATTTCAATTAACTTTATTTAGCTATATATTAATTAATTTATTTTTATCGTGCTTTAATATTGTTGTTTATACAGTACTGTTGTTAGCTGCCCAGAGTGGACTGGTTGCCAGATGGTGTGGGGTACAAATTCATTCAATCAATCAATCAATCAATCAATCAATCAATCAATCAATCAATCAATCAATCAGCAAACAAACAAAACTGTATTTTTCATTGCAAATATGTCTGTAGAAGTATACCCATCATTCCCCCATCATGTAGGAAGAGAACAGCTATCACGTTTTGAACAATAGAGAATGATGACGGAAACTAGAACGCTAGAACATGAATTGAAGTAAAGGCCTTGCTCTAGACAAAAGAAAGTACTGAACTCTTGCGGTTGGGACCCTGTTTGACAATCCTGGTTGTCCTCATATAATCTTAGTGTATATAGGTTTTCTTTTCTTTTCTTTTCTTCATTGACTGTTTAAAGGAAGTTCTTGCTTTAGTGAGCCCCTCGGATATGGTGGATGAGCAGCTGAGAGCAATTGAGCATGAAGGGCTGAACGGTGTTATTTTTCTTAGAAGTCTCTGAGAGACGTAGCAAACTTCTCAAAAATCTGCTTCCCTGATTGCGGTGCTAGAAGTAATGCTTTCAGCATGCAGAAACCCAGAAAGTGTTGACAGCTAAAGAAAACAGAAGGAATGTTTAAGTTAAATCTGCTGTAAATGATTATTCAGTATATAAGTGCACAGTAGCGGACTTGTTTAGTTTCAAGCAGATAAAAGACCTTCTATCAGCCAGCTCTAGGCTTACTTAGGGAGGGAACGGAAATATAAATTGGCCAAGACGGTTCAGGAAAGTAGTCCCTGCTTGCTGCCAAGTAGTAAGAAGGCAGGCCGCTAATCTGACGAATATTTGCTCCCAGCAAAGAAGAGTTTCAGTAGGAGCAGTGGCAGAGGGCTGGTCCAGCCGTACAGATGTCTGTGGTGCTATGACTATCATTATCATATTGATATCACACAGTTAAGGATCAGATCTTCCTATCAGACCTGCAGGGTGAATGCTTGTCTTTGTTTCTATTAATAGGACTGGAAGCAGTTTGCAAATAATTCCAGAGTACAGTAGACCTTCTACTTATGGAATTAATACGTATTGGAATGGTGGCTGCAGGTCAAAAAGTCTGTAGGTCGAGTTTCCATTGACCTACAATGCATTGAAAACTGATTAATCCCATAACCGGCCATTTTTGTTCCATTTTTGTTCCATTTTGGTTGTACAATTTTCACAGTATAGTTCAGATCCGGTGGGGCTAAGGCTGCAAAT